TATGTTAATTAAGAATTTCTAAAATTTTCAGATTAAAATTCAGTTATATAAGAAATAATTATCATCTTTATGAAACTGTGAAGATATTAGCTACCGTTACTGAGATTCATATTTCAGCTTGATATTTTGATAGTATCATCTGATCAATCAATACATATTCATATGGATCATCTTAATTGCTTTATTCTTTGAACATTGAATTAATTCTAATAATCGTGTATGATTTATGATTTTTCATTATAATATCCTTTATAGGTACTGAAATAGTATACAAAATTTATGCTTTGTATGTTCAAAATGTCGCATCTTTAGTCGAAATTGTCATCAGAATTCCTAATATTGAACAGATATAATGATATTGGAATAGGATGCGAATAAATTTTTTTAAATTTAAATTGATATAACAACATTGAATTGGTTTTTCTAGAACTTTAACATGAATAAAATTGAAATTGTAGGAATGATTTGAAGAGGATTTCATGATTTCATTTAGTTAGATGATAAATGTAGTAAGCATATTTGTCTTTATTAAACTTTAATTTAAATCAAATAATGTCAACCTGTTTGACTTTAATTTTTAACTCAAATAATGCTAAACACGATAGATTTTCTTTTTAAAACTTTTTAACTCAAATAATGTCAACCATCAAAATTATCCCATGTTTAACTTCAATTTTTAATTCGAATAATGTCAACTATAACAAAGATAATAGAATGCCAAAAATGATTGCATAGAAATTTATTTAAGTATTTTACGCTTACAATATTCCATTTAATCTATCGTTTGGTTTGGTTAAACTTTTCGTTGATTTACTTAGTATTGCAGGTAGTTAACAAGCAAGATAGGTACGATCTAGCAGGTAAGATTCTTTTTTTTTTTTATTCCAAAGAATCCTAAATGCATTTTATTTCTTTTCAATCTTAATGTGCTAACGTTGCTTCAAGATTTCTCGATCATATTTCATGATAAGTAATTCTTTTCTCCATAATTGACACATTTGTCATCGTCCATTATTATCAAGCTTATCAATGCTAAATTAATTGATATTGGTAAAAAGTGTATCAATTAGTAGCCAAACTGACCATACAGTATTGATTGACAGTTTTGATTGTCATTCATTTAAGATAACCGGAAAGTATATATCGGTAAGTTGTTGTTCGGAAAATATTTCCATTGATTTATTTTAAACATCTCCAAAACAGTTTGGATATGAACTATTAGAAATAAGTACGAAAACTATAAATTACCTGTTTTCCGTTCTAAAATAACCCATGATTAATGCGATATACTGCTCAAGAAAAAAAAGTTTTTTTAAAACTTCAAAATCAATTTTAAGAAGTTTCTCTTTTCATCCAAAACTTACAATGATATAAATCATAATAAATTTCATCATTTTTAATCTTTATTTTAATTCGTTCTAATTAAATTGACAGTATATTACTCCTTTATAAACAAATGTCATAACGCATTTCGGTGTAAGGTCAAAATAAAAAAGTTCTTGACATGTCCTTAGACTGATATAATAATGTCAAAGTGATTAAGTTTAATCGTATATTAATCTTATGTATTATTATTGAAATAATTGTGCATTTCAAATAACTATTTTGATTTCATCCATACTTTCTTCGTTACATTAATTAGTCAGAGTTTTGTTAATTATCCTCATAATTATCAGTTGTCAAAAAA